CCCCCCCCCGATTTCGTGAACTAACTGCTTTGTCAAACTATTTTTGTTTCCCTTGGAGGTTTGAAAAATCAGGATTCCCTTGTCATTGTGCTGCATGGCACCTGCTATGTTTGACTGCACAACATTTTCCTCTTTCTTTTTTCTAGATTGTCGAGCTGTGTGTCATCCTGACTGTAAGGACCAACTCCCCCTGCCTTGTGTACCATGCAGTGAAACTCCAGGCTCTGGAAAAAGACGTCCAGTATGTACTACCTTAATCAATTGACAGATTTTCTATTTCACTGCATGACTTCCCAGGGCACAACCAAAATGAAACAGAGAGCACAAGATTGAACAAGGGCAGGAGCGACAGGGTGGCGATGATCCTTGATAGCTCTGACACCCTGCACTAGTTTTTGTACACTTGTTTATAACTAAGAGAAAACATTACAAGCAAACTGCTTTAGACAGAACAGTTCCACCCTATTCATCAAGCGAGCAAATAACAGCCTGTCGTCGAACAATGTCCTGTACATTTGGCATTTTGACAGGTGAACGTGAAGCCTGAGTAGCATGGCTGTGTAGTTGTGCTACAAACTCAAGGTGCCTTATAAACATGAAGCATACAAAGAAGGAATTGTTCCACCAGACTGACTTCTTGTCAAGTAAACATTGCCCTAGACTGAGAAAAGACTTCTGAAGAAGAAAATTATTTCCAGAATGATTGATTTTTAAAATTTTACTGACTGCCTTCTTTTTCAGGATGAAAACATTGAGTTTTATGCCCCCTCCACAGGTCCTATGGTTCCAGAGATTGTTGTAAGTCAATTTTAGTATTTAGGGGTTTTAACTACTGCAGGTATCTTGCTTCTTCCTTTTGAAAATGTTCAAGTCTGGTCCAATCTCAGGAATACTGATGCTTCACTTAAGTTTCTCTAGCATGGAATGCCTTGGTATATTGTTAGTCCATTTTTACAGTTACATGTAGCTTGTGGCATTCGGGTTGGTTTCATGCCTCAACAAGTCTTTGGTACTATGAGAGAAAAATTGTCATGCTCTAGAATGGACGAAAGTTCCCTGAATCCAAGGAACATTTATAGTATTTTTCCTCTCACGGTTCTTTCATGTCTTCACCTCAGATCAAATGTATCGAAGAAATTGAACGTCGTGGTCTTACAGAAGTTGGAATCTACAGGGTGCCAGGGTAAGTAACCAATCAAAACTAACGTCAACAATGCAATGGACCAATCAAAACGGGAAGCGAAAACTGGAATCCCGTGCCAAATTTGTGCCAAAAATTCCGGGAATTTCGGTCGGAAGTCAAATGAAAAGGTCCGTTTCGGTTCCTTTCGACCGGAATTTTCGGGACCACCTTGATAGGTCGGACCGGTGGGACTGAAATATTTGCCGTTCCATTTTGACAAACCGGGTCATTGCCCTTCTTCTCTTCAGTAGCTTTTACTTAAGTGGTGAATTCGGAAAAGGAATAAAAAAAATGGTTAGAGCCATACCATTCCATTTTTGCTCGGTTAGTCCCAGTTGTCGGTCTGATATAATGGAAAGCTCACCGGCTGCCGAAACAAGAGCGAGAAAAGACGAGTAAAGCCAAATCAAGGCTCTTGATTGGCTGAAAACAAAAAATAGTAACTTATAAGAACACATTTCCCTCGAAGGTGGCCGCTTAGAAGGGGTTCGGCTGTAGTTTGTTCTCATGTAAATTCTCATCAACGAGATTCACCCATTCACGAAGAAGACTGGTTCCTTCAATTTTCTAAGAAAACATTGTTTACCTTATCAAATTTATGGGACTTCCGATTCTACATGGTTTTGAAAGCCACCCCAGTGTTTGTTCTTGTACGCGGCATCAAGTTCGCGCCACTTCGCGGAAAAAAGTTTTAATTCGATTTTTAAGAAAATTATTTACCATTTCAAAACCGCGATAACGTTGATAGAACAACCCCTAAGGAAACGCTAGGAAAAGGATACTGAAAGTGAAGGCAACGAAGGTGGTTACTTTCAGAACTTTACAGTATCCATTGTAAGGCTGTTTTAAGCGTCTGTTTATTTTCTGCTTTCCATTTCAGAGCCGAGCGAAGTGTTAAGGAACTAAAGGAAAAGTTTTTGCAAGGAAAAATTCCTGATCTGGTAAAGACCGTAGCGTTAAATAAATACGGATCCTTTGTAGCGCTTAAAATGTGATGTCTGATTTTATTGTACGTCTTTTACAGCGCAAAGTTGAAGACATCCACGTTGTTTGCGGACTGCTGAAAGATTTCTTCAGGAAGCTCGCCGAGCCTCTTGTTACGTACTACTTGTGGTCAGCATTCGTAGATGCAGCAAGTGAGGATTACTATTTTCGTTTGTAATGTGTTTCGATTTTTTCAGTTCATTCAGTACTGGGTATTATAAATTTTTGTTATATGGCTTGTGTTTGTAGCCGTTATAACGCGCGCTCTGATTGGCTAATTGTAGGGAATTATTCTCCCGTAATGCTGCTGGAGAGAGTCTGCAATCGACCCAAAAAAGTTCCTTACTGATGACGTAGCTCTGCAAAGATCCGGGTGTTTTCTCTGATTGGTTGTTACTTTGGCGCCAAAATTCAAAACGGTGCAATAACCAATCACACAGATGTTTTTAGAGTGACGTCACCACTGTCCAGAAAGGACTTTCTATGAGTCGTTCTTTCGTTGGAAGCGCACGAATAGTGATGTCCGTCTAGAGATTATTTTAATGCTGTTGTGTTGTTTTTCAGACAAGACTGATGAAGATGACAGCGCTAGTGCTACGTATCAAGCAGTCAGCGAACTACCTCAAGCAAACAGAGACACACTGGCCTATCTTGTCGTTCATTTACAGAAGTAAGCCACGTGAAAAACTCTAGCTTGCGACTACAACCGCCCTCACGGAGAGATTCTTAATTCCAACTAGTGTCCCCATTCGGGGAATGACATTCAAAACTTAGACATAAAATAGACTAACACGAGTCAATTTTGGGTCTGCTTTCGTATTGAACGTGACTTGATTTGAACAAGCGAATGGTGTGTATGACTGCGACGCCCCATTGCTACAATTTGTGAGTCATAGTGATTTATCACAGTCCTATGCTGCGATACGAAACGAAAATTAGCTCCCCAAGAGCTAAATTTTGCAACTCTTAACGGCAATTAGGTGTGCTTACATTGAAGACATTTGAATCGTGAACATTTGACATTTTTTTGTACGTTTTTAGTGACTTTAGAATGAGGGCTCCAAATTAACAAAGGTATCAAGCATTTCTACACTGTAAAAACACTAATCTTGTACATTGTATGAAGAGTTTTCATTCTAAAGTCGCTGGAAAAAAAACGTTCAAAAACTGTAAGCAAAGGGTTCATGGTTGGAGTGTCCTTATTGGAACAATGAAACAAAGATTCTTTTTCTTTACTCATTCATCTTAATTTCTTTTTTTTTTTTTTAGAGTTTCCCATTGCACTGAATGTAAAATGTCAGCGAGTAACCTGGCTAAAGTGTTTGGTCCGACCATCGTTCAAAATTCCTCCAGTAACCTTGAACCTATGCAGATGTTACAAGAGGCAAAGTGGCAGCCGAAGGTGGGTGGCGTAGGAAAATAAATGCTCTCTAATATGAACTCCAGGTAGGTAGGGTAGGGAGATTAATCTCATGCAGGTACAGCTTAGGCTCACACAATGGATTATAAATTATTTTCCCAAAAACGTTTCTGCACAGCAAAAACTGCTGAAAAAAAGAATCGTGCAAAGGGAGCCACGAGGAAAACAATCAAGCAGGTGCTTTCTACTACACAGGACGTATTTTTGGTGTTTAAAATGGTCTTACACAAGCCATTGCCCACCAATGTAAAGAGTTGAGCAATGTCATTGTTACAGTGTATACGTTCTTTTCTCGTCAGGTGGTTGAGCGGCTTTTATCCATGCCTGTTGACTACTGGAATCAGTTTATAAACATTGAAGACGAGAACATTCGATCTCCCCCGTACAACCCTCATCACGCAGACGGAACTCCTTTAACTCCCGAGTGTAGACCCGGTAAGTAACTCCCTTATATCCCCG